TATTATTATTATTATTATTATTAACAATTCCAATTCTAGGACATTGAAATAGTTTTGAATCAAGATGAAAATGTGTCATTTTAATACAATTTTTAGGCATTTTCCTTTTAAATTTGAGCACAGGATGTTCTATGCAGAATAGTCATTAATCTAGCAGGTTAAGAGGAAAGTATAATAGTGCTATGTGAAGAAGTCTCTTCAAGATTTCATAGACAGATCTATAGTTTTCTTGGCAGCAAGATGGAAATTGCATGCCATTGTTGCCTTCTAGGATGGCTTTTCGTCTTCCAGTCTATCTTACTACAGTTCTCCTGGAAACCCCCTCCCCATCCAAATAGATTTAAGGCTAGCCCTCCTTAGCTTCTGAGCACAGAGAAGGTCAGACAGGTGCTACCACATGCAAAGCAAACTGAAGCTTTCTTTTAAATACCATATATTGAAAATGTCTGAATAAAAAAAAATGCTTCTTGTCATCATAGTAACAGACCATAACAACAAGATTGCCACAAAATATTTCTGACTCCAATGCCTAAGCAAAAACGCCTTTTTAAAGGCTAGTAAGTTTTGAACCAGCTATGTATTGGGGTCTATGTGTGTGAGATTGTTCCAGAGGCAGACACCACTGTGGAAGAGATATCTTCCTGAGTGCTGTCAGGTTTCAGGGAAAAGTTTTACAATTTGTAAAAATCAATGCCTAGTATTAGAGCAGATATGCAATATTATATTTAGTTAGATTTTAGTGCACTTAAAAACATCTGTGAATATGCTAGAATGAGGATTGTGGAGAACATCTATGCTGCCATAAATGGTAATGACGATGGAACACAAATTTAATAAATACACACTCTACACATTTCACTTGTAGAAAACTAATGGTTAAGAAAATATTGTATTTGATGTCATTTTGTTATACAAAACTTTAGAGTTTTAACAAAGTATTTAATACTGAGTGCCATACCAAGTGCACTAATCAAACTAGTGGTAAGGAACTCAGGCACCACACAGGTTATGTTGAAAGTAAACACAGGGTCAGTCATAAAGGATTCAAATGTCTATACACCAATGCACAGAGTATGAGCAATAAATTGGGTGAATTAGAAATTCATGTAAATGAGGACAGATATGATATTGTCGCCATTATAGAAATTTGGGGGGATGAAACCCACAAACAGAACATACAGCTAGATGGATTTAAATTATTTAAAAGAAACAGGCCAAATAAAAGAAGAGGTGGAGTTGCATTATATATAAAAATGACTACATCTCTACAGAAATAGAGCACAACAATGATGAAAACTGTCTTGAATGCATTTGGGTAAATATAAAAAGGGGAAAAATGACATTGCCATAGGTGTATACTATAGGCTACCCAACCAAACAGGGAAAATAGATGAACTATTTGCTAGTCAGTTAACTAAGGTATGTAGAAAGCACATCACAATATTAATGGGGGACTTTAATTACCCTGACATCAACTGGGAGAAAAACTCTGCATCAAATGGAAGATCAAACAGATTCCTGACAAATATAGCAGACAACTTTGTCTCCCAAAAAGTAGAGAAGGGAACTAGGGGATCAGCCATATTGGACTTACTTCTCACTAACAGAGATGAAATGATAGAAAGTGTTGAAGCTACAGGAACCTTGGGGGGGGGAGTGATCATGCAATATTGGAATTCAACATTATGCAAGCACAAGCAATAGAACATAGTCAAACTAGAGTCTTGGACTTTAAGAGAGCTAATTTCAATTAACTTAGAGACAGCTTGGGGTAGGATTCCATGGTGTAGAATCCTCAAGGGGAAAACAACTCAAGAAGCTTGGGAAATTTTGAAAAGTGAGATTATAAAAGCTCAATCTAGCACAATACCAACAAAGAACAAAAACAACAGCTCTCAAAAAAACCCAGCATGGCTGCATAAAAAACTCTGATGAATTGAAAGACAAAAAGGACAAGTATAAAAAGTGGAAAGAGGGGCATATAAGTAAGGCAAAATATCAGCAACTACCCTGAGCCTGCAAAGGTGAAGGGAGGAAAGCTAAGGCTCAAAATGAACTAAGGCTTGCGACAAAAATAACAAAAAAAGTTTCTTTCAACATGTAAAAACAAGAAAAAAGTTAAAGAAATGATTGGTCCATTAGTGGGAGAAAGTGGCAAGAAGGTGACAAGCAACAGGGAGAAAGCAGAACTATTTGGCTTGTTTTTTGCATCCATCTTTACACTAAGGGAAAAACAGTCTAACCTATTAAAAACAGTACCGTAAAAAACAGATTAGAAACACAAGTTAAGATAGGCAAGAAAATGGTAAATGAGCATCTGTTCACCCTAGACAAATTCAAATCACAGATGGATTACACCCCAAGGTTCTGAAGGAACTGGCATATGTGATATATGTAAGCAATCCAATATTTACATGCTTTAAGTTTTCAATTTCAACCCTCAGCAGCCTAGCTAGCATGCATGATAATGGAAGATGCTAAAGGAGTTGTGGTTTGGCAGTATCTGAAGAGCTGCAGCTGGCCTACCCCCAGAACAAATGTGAACATTACAAGGTGGTTTCTGCTGATTGTCTTGAAAAAGCCAGGAGCTATCCATTATCTTGCCTTGGCTAAGTAGGATTTTATAGCAATAATTAGCACTTAGAACTGAGAAAGGATAGTTAGTGCAGTTGTCTCCACAGTAAGGTGATATATTACCTAAAACAAATAATCTAGATGCCACATTTTAACAGGCCGAAGCTTCTGGACAGTTTTCAAAGATAACCTCCATGGAGAAGTAAGCCTGAGCTTGGAAAAATAACTTATGGTCACAGCTTTCACCTAGGTATCCATTTCTAGAATAAAACTGGGTTCAGAAGAATCTCCACATATGGATTCAATGTTTTCAGAGAGAAAAATATCTCATGTAGCTGAGAATCATGTTCTATGTTTTTATTAACACTTTGCATTTCTGTATTCTCTAAGTTTTATGACTTCCAAGTTTTGTAACTGTCCAGAGCTCTATACAAATGGTTCTATCATTTCATACATAAATAAAAAAGCATGGGGGAAAAAAGAGTCCATAAGTTAAAGGATCAAATCAGACTCGCCCTAAAGCAGCACTTTAAAACCATTAGGTTTTAACTGAAAGCTATATTATGCAATTTGATATAAAGAAGAGACCATTGTCATCTACTGCTATCTACCCCACCCCAGATACACTAACAGTAGCCAATCTTCCTTTATCTATCTACAGTGCTTTTTTTCTAAAAAAAAAAAAAAGTGCCGGAACTCACACACGTCATGTAAATCATGGTGGTAAATCAGCACTCTAGTTGACTGGCAAGGAGCCTGTTTCCCAGGCTTCAATCACTTCCCTGGCTGTTTTTGTGCCTGCTCGTTCAACAATTTTAGTAGCTGGAAAATTGAATGTGTGTCCTTGTTCATTGCAGTGTGAGGCTACCAATGACTACATCTTGCAAGACCACAGTACATCTTGCTAAATCTTGAATCCCCTATGCATGGATACCTTTTGCAGACTTCAGTGCTATCATTCCAGAAATTCTTCACTGTGAACTGATTCAGCTCACTGTGCCTGTTCATACTTGTAGGTGGATCATAAGCTTTTTTCACAGATAGGAACCAACAGGTGAAGCTAGAGAAAGTTTCATCTAGTACTCGGGCAATTAGCACAGGAGCCCCTCAGGGCTGTCTGCTTTCATTGCTCTTTTCTGTCTATACCAGGCATGACAAACTGCCGGCCCACGGGCTGGATACATCACGCAGAAACCGCGCCCACCCCATTGCCAGCAATGGGGAAAAAGTCGCGATATGTCGCACGAGATCATGTGACATCACGAGTTTGACATGCCTGGTCTATACTAATGCCTACATCTCAAGGGAAGCTTCTGTTAAAGTAGTTTGCAGATGATAAAATGGTCATTGACCTCATTCGAGATAGTGATGAACCTGCATATAGAAGAGAGGTTGAACAACTGGCCCTGTGGTGCAGCCAGAACACTCTGAGCTAAATATGCTTAAAACTGTAGAAGTAAGAGTGGATTTTAAGAGGAGCCCTTCTATTCTACACCTCTTACTATATTCGACAGGACAGTATCAGCAGTAGAGTCCTTCAAGTTTTTGGGTCTTTAATTTCCTAGCACTTGAAATGGACACTTAATATTAGAACCATCATTAAAAAGGCACAATAAAGAATGTTCTTCCTGCGTCAACTCTGGAAGTTCAGACTGACCCAAGAGCTGTGGATATAGTTCTAGAGAGGAATTATTGAGTCTGTCCTTTGTATTTCTATAACTGTCTGTCCTGTCCTGTTTGTTGTTTGGTACAACAACCAAACAAGACAGGTATACTCCAATGGATAGTTAAGACTGCAGAAAGAACAATTGCAACTAGCCTGCCTTTCATAGAAGACCTGTATATTGCGCAGGTCAGAAGGAGATCTGAGAAGACCCTCCTTCAGACCCCCTCACAGACCCCCTCACATCCTGGGCATAAACTCTTTCAGCTCCTTCCTCCTTGGAATGGCACTACTGGGCACTGCATGCCAAAACAATTAGACAGGGGGACAATTTTTTCCTTCATGCCAGCAATCTGCTGAAACCTAATTCTCAGAGTGCTGTCTAATGTCCTATGTATATTCACCCTTGTAGTATGGCTGTAGTATTATCATTTATCCTTATCTTTTTTAGTTTCCACCTCTTATTGGCATTATTCTCTTATTGGCATTATGATTATTATTATTCTATTGCTTTGTATATACACTGAGAGCTACTGCATTGAAGGCAAATTCCTTGTGTGTCTAATCACACTTGGCCAATAAAGTATTCGGTTTCTGTTCTGTTCTATTCTAAACTGAAATCTCAAGACAGTACAAAAAGAGGCATGGCATGTATGGCACACAAAAGATTTGTTCCAGCTGCTGTGCTTTCCTCAGTTATTCCCCAAGTATGAATCCTCCCTCAACCATTCTATAGCTTTCCTTAGCATGGAGTTTTACTTACCTTTCGATTCATTCTCTTCCCATGATAGAGCTTAGATCTGGAACATTTTGCTGTTATGGATACAACAGCTGAACAAGAATGGTTTTGAATACCTCTGTCCTATCAAATTGAACTTACAATTTGCATCACATCCTTTGGAAATTCCCTGCTAATAAGGATGTGAACCATTAAATCTCAATGTGGGAAAGCCTATAAGTACACAAAAGGCAGGCTTATTTTGAGTTGTAACATGTTATAACTTGTAGATTGGCTGTTTCCCATAAGTGAATGATTAAACATGATGCAACAAGGAATCAAGGAGCTTGCTTAATTTCCCTTAAGCAAATGGGTTGATTGCTTAATTTACGCCAATGCAATACACAGAAGTTGCTTTAATCTGTTCCATCTTCTTTGTCATCCTGCAATGCTTTTGGTCTCACAGTCCTTGCTCACTTAATCAACAGATTTGGAAATGCCCTCCATCCTAGGTCCTGTTTCTCTTAGCTTTGTTTCTTATAATGAATCATTGAGGAAAGGTTTCTGAATCAAATAAGCTGTGACAAATATTATTTTACAGACATCTTAATTCATTTTTCCCACCCACTTTTGCTGTTTTATTCAAACGAAACAAGAATTGCTACAGACAGGAAACAAACTGCAATAATCTGAAGTAACTTTTACTGTTACTTCCGCATTACTAAATTTTCCAATTGTAGCATAGCAATTTCAGAATTAATGCTAAACCAGAGCAGCAGCATATGAAGACTACCTTTATAGTGATTCAGTACTTCAACCCAAAACAAGATGCTTTGTGTATTCTGTGTGCTTAATTTAAGCCTGTCAGTTTTGGGTGAGGACTTAATACACAGTGAAAATTCCACTGGTTTGTATCAAGTGGCTTATAGATCAGGAAAAAAACCTAAGAAAACTTCCTTTTTCTTAAATTGGTATCATATGTTTTAGATTTCTATTCCCAGAATTCTCAGCCAGATGCTAGATATTCTGGAAGTTGGTCCAGCACATCTGAAAAAACATCACGTTGGGAAAATCTGTTCAGAATGTATTTTCTCGACTTAAGAAATCCTCATCGATAATGGAGGGGTTTTTACACAATAGGATTAGTTGAGCAAAAACCTATCAGCAGAAGGAAACTAAAGTTTTATAAAGGTAAAATGATGCTTACCAAATAAATATAAGATTTCCTGCTATACAAAAGAAACGATATAACAGAATAATAGAGTTAGAAGGGACCTTGGAGATCTTCTAGTCCAGCCCCCTGCTCAAGCAGGAGACTCTATACCATTCCAGACAAGTGGCTGTCCAGTCTATTCTTAAAAGCCTCCAACGCCCACAACTTCTGAAGGTTAATTGTTCATATTGTTAGGAAATTTCTAGGTTGCTTTTCTCCTTGTACTAAGGAGAAATTTCTTAACAGTATTTTGATATATTATCAAAACAGAATCTTATTTTCATCTTCCATAAAGTGAAAAAAAAATATTATGAAAGAGACTCCATTCTGTATTGGAGAGTAAATGAACGTGTCCAAGATTATATATTTTTTACTTTTTAAAAGTTTATCAATAGTCTCTTATATACATATAATATTCACAAAATAATTCACAATAGCTTTTTTCTTTCTTTCTGTCTGCTGGTGAATTCTTGTGACTGCACTTGTTTCACAATTGGTTCACAAGGAGAACTGCAGGTGTACTTTTCCTTCAGCTTTGTGGCTCTGAATGTCTAATAATTTACCATGTCATTAACTTGGCACAGAAAGTAGTCCATATTCATCTGCTGTATCCAGAATTTTACAGATAACTGGTGACTCTACCTGGAAAGAAAAAAAAGTTTACAAAGATGTTAGTCACAATGCAATTGAACAAACTAAGTCATGAAAAAAATCAAATCAAGCAACTGTGACCAAAAGGTTACAATGGGGGTTAGTGCTCATAAAATTAATGCTTTGGAGTTAGAGAAAGATAATGCTGCATTTGAGGACAACCATGCAATCAGAATATGACCTGTCAAACCTTTTGGACACTTTATCTTTTTTCAACAAGACTCTGAAAAAAGTTAAATCCTTGCTCAAAACTACATTTTAATTAACAGAGTCTGTAAAGGTCTTAAAGATCTTGTTGAATTGTGCCCAAATTTTTTAACATTTAAATACTTTATTTGGGATAAAATGTGTTTTTGCAAAAAATAAATAAAAAAATCTATCAGCTTTCCTGGGCACACAAGATAGAAAACATGACCAGACAGGCTAATTCTACTTGTAAGGCTACATTTACAGAATCTTGCAAGTCTGAACATACAAATCTCATTCTATCTCCTTTATATCTCGAGAAGCTAGGAAGGGTCCCTTCTTAGTCCCATTATGCAGCTGTGGGCTATGCCCTCACTTATTTGACCATTCCATGGGTAGCATTTCTTTGCCCTGTCTCTCAGTCTTTCTCCATATTATTACAATAATTTAAACTAATGCTATTTTTAATTTTGGGGTGTGTGTAGTCTAACTGCAGTATTTTTTAAATCACTTTGCCTACCAACATTTTTTCTCCCAGAAATCAACATAGTTTAGATCAAGATTTCAAAAACATACCCCAAGAATATACTGGCAGGAATGAGGCTCCACCATATATATAGTAACTGCATGAGGAGAGTCAGATTCTTTGCACCTTAAAACAGGAAAGTTTGTTAGTAGACAAAATAGAGTAAGAAAATGGTTCCTCAAGCTCCAAGATTTTCAGTTGGTATATTTGGCCTATAAATCATCTCTGATGATGCAAGTCTTGCTGCAATAGAGCAAAGAATTACACTTTTAGGTAATATTTCCCAGTGAACCTAGTGTTTGGAAGATAATAACTGTAGCTCAGGATTGAATGGTTTTCTTTGAGCTTGGTTGTTTTCTTGCAAACATTTTATTATCCAACTAGGTAAGATCCTCAGTGCTAGCACTTGCCTTGCAGGTAATTCTCAAATTATTTGTAAGAGATAAACATGGACTGTGCCTAATAACTAGTAAAGGAAAACAAGGTCACTTTAAGGTTCCAGGCATCTTTTCCTTAGGAAACAAATATAGCTCAATTAGTCAGTACAAACTGTTTATTTTAAGTGTAACTCACTTCAATCTCACCGTCACTTGTCGAGGTTTGTCAGTTAAGTCACAAACATCTCCATTGCCATAGTAGTGAGACACCATTCTGTCAGGAAAGTTACAACTTAGACTCTGATTGCAATAATCACATTTAAAACTCACTGCATAAGGTCCAAAGCTTAGACCTTTCATATTTGCCTTCTATACAATTACCATAAAATATACAAAAACTGTCAACTAGAGTTGAATATCAGAAAACTATACAATATTTGGCATGTATAGATACCTTGCATTTAAAATTTAATTATTTTTGTTTATTCCAATATGTCTTCAGTATAAAAGAATATAATATACAATCCATCTTTACAACCAGCATTTCTTAGAAAGGCAGTCATAAGCAATTACTCATCCATCCATCTATAGATGGGCTGATAAATATTTTTCTGGCTTAATATCAAAGATATAGTGAAGGGGTATCTAAAAATTTAAAAGCATGAGATACAATATTATGAAACATTGAAGATTCCATCCCGGATTGGATACTAAAACTGGGACTTAAAAATCAGCTGCACTCTACACTTATTATTACAAGTGCTACAACAAAGCAGCAACCCTCTTTCTAAGCCATCATTTTAGAACCAAATTGTGCATACTTGACTGTTTGCAGGTCATCGTCTTTCTGGTGATATGTTCTAGCCACATTCTTTTGTGCCCATTCGAGATGTTCCTCTTTGTTCCATGTGCCCACAACTATAGTAGTTTTGCCATTTTCTTTATCCTAAAATAAGTAACATATTTTCTTGGTAATTTAAAATTTTATGCATAGTTCTGTATTTTATACCACCCTAAACAGAAATTCTAAAGTAGACAATAATCAATATTATGACTGTTTCCATATGGTAAAAATACCCATATGAATCCCAATTGCTTCAGCTAGCCTTTCCCCATTATATTTAAATGGCAATGGTTTTAATGAACTATAACAGTCTGTTTTTCCTTTGTTTATCCTTAGTTATGTCTTGATGAACATGTCCTGCTATTCTTAGTAGTGAGCTGAATGAAGAAAGGAAGGAGGATCCAGGAATGGGTAGTGTAATAGACTTTAAGTCATACTGTCCATTTCCTCTTGAGCAATAAGAACTCTTAAGTATGCTTGGGCACCCCCATCATAACAAACTGAAAAAACCCTTCATGGCAAGTATCCAACAGTCCATTCTTAGTATTTACGACATTATGAGGCAGAATTAAAGTAGCATCTCTAACTACCTAAATGTTACATTGCTTTAATGCCTAGCTACTGGCATGTCCATCCTGGATTGACAATATTGGAGAGAGAGACCAAGGCACATAACTGAATATTGGTTCATTTTTATTACAGCATGAACCTCATACAGTTATAGCTTGATGCAGCTGCATGTGTTTTGCATGTAATAGGTCTCAGGGTAGGCAGGTTGTAAAGATTTCTCTCTGAAACCCGAAACAACTGCCCTCAGTTTATGTAGGTTGGGGATGAGCAAGATGTTGCTCTTGGCTTGATTTCATTCTGAGGAGAATGCCCAGAGAGAGGATAAATGCAGGAGGGGATAAAAAGAGAAAATCTGAAATGGATAGAAATGAAAGGGAAAATATTCTCAAAAACGTTTCGTATTTCTGGCCAAAACAGTCCTGAAAAGGTTTTGAGATGAGAGAAGAAAAGATACTGTGTACAATAAAAATAGATTAAAAATAGGAATAATATATCACCTTCCCCTTCCCTGACTCCTTGGGGGAAAGTTAAAAAAAGACAAAAAAGGGAGGGGAGAAAGGAGGGGTGACAAATGAATGTTCCTGTCCATTTTGGGTTCCAAGCCAGGTAGTTACCTACATGCAGTGCTGAACAGATTACCTCCAGGGCAGAATGCTGCGTTCGATGGGCCAAAGATCTAATATAGTGCTAGGTGACTTCCTGTGTCTCATCTTTATACAGCCCAATGGTGAATTCATAAATTTTACATATGTACTTTCAAATTCTTCTTTATAGACAAAAACAGGAACATGTAGCCATCTAGTG